TAAATATGAGAAAAATGAGTCCACTTTAGAATAGAAGATAAGTAAAATAAATAAACATGAGAAATTAACAAAAACCCATAAATTGTAATACATTTCACTGTCAATATTTTGTACAAAACTGAAATAAGAGATCAATGCGTTAATCCCTTGTATACAAATATACATACATACATAGTACCTATGCATGCATTAGATAATTGGGGTATTCACAACGGTGTCGTAAGTGTCGTATTGTTGTATGTCGCAAACTTTAAACGCCTAAGAAATATATTAAAGGAGTCCGTAAAGTACCATCAAAGTCATACTATGAATTTTTGCGGTGTTAAATAATAGTTTGTTGTCGTTTCAAGTTCTCTAAGCATTTATTTAAGCTTTTAAAGTTTACGACATACAAGAAAACGACACTTACGACACCTTTGTGAATCCCTCAAATATTATTTGCATGTATTAAACCGATGCACAAGCAAAGCAATAAAAATATAATTAGAAGACCAAGGCATTGGGTGGTAATCTTATGTAAATATACATGCACACATATATATAAGTAAATATACACACACACATACATATATAGTTAGTTAATAAAACTAGACATAGAATTTGTATATAAGGAAGAAAATATTCAATCCACAATCAGATCCGTGAGGAATCTCAACTAACATTCTCATTCTTCTTTTATTTTTATTTTAAATTGTATGCTTTACTTCCCCCCACCTGAGGTAAGGGGTAAGGCATTTAATAATTTATGTTTTTCTTTATATTTTCTAATGTTTTACTTCCCCCCACCAGTGGTAAGGGGTAAAACATTGAATATATAAATTACTAACCTCTTATTTTATTAAACTCTACTTCCCCCCCCCACCAGTGGTAAGGGGTAGAGAATTTAAAAAAAAAGAGTATTTGTAGTTCACGCATTGCTGAGAATTGCTTGTTACCCCCCACCCGAGGTAAGGAACAAGTGACTCAGCTCTGCAACGAACACATAATTACATATCGTCAATGTTTTTGCGAAACCGCCCATCGACCAGTTGCAAAACCGCCTAAGTCGCCGTTGTGGCAAAAAATGAGATTGGGTAGCCCTTAATTCCAGGCATCGAGATTTATGCATAAAAATCGTTAAATCGTTATTAAAACAACAGATTTTTAAAATAATAGCTAGCTTTAAAATAATACCGTCCATCAAGGCAATGCCTTCAAAGAATAAACCGTTTTTTCGCTTTCCTGTAAAATTTGAGTGCCATAAGATTTTGCAATTGGGCGATGGGCGGTTTTGCAAAAACATCGACGATATGTTTTATGCTAATTGTTTTCTTAATTGCATTCATTCTCCTTATTTTCAAAGCGATAACCGATTTGTGATTTTTAAATATATTTATATGAATTATTCAGTCAGACAATAAGCGTCAATTTAACAATATGAAATCCAAAGACTTACGAGCTTTAATATTGAAGTTTAAATGCTGCATCGCAGTAGTTTTATTCTATCTTACTTGCGTTAGTTTAACAACCACTTCAGCGCATTTTGCTAAAACCGAAACAGGGTATACGCTTGTGAATAGTCAAAATGTGGAATATAAGCGACGGGTTTCTAGGCAATCATATATTTGCATGCTGTTACGATGTTTGGGAGCCGAAATTCGAAGATGTAAGGCACAGTTTTGTCACAAAAACACACATGAGATTATTTTACCTGCTTTATGTTTTTAATTAACTCATAAAAATATTCTCTTTCCAGTGGTAGAAACAGAAAACGTTTCCGGAGCAATAATCCTGCTTAAAATGGTTTTAGTAACGCAACCTTGTCGCAGACACCGAGATGACTATCCTCCAATAAGAAATACAACTAAATAAAAATAAATGTTTAAACAGATAAAATTTAAGAATTTCTGATGATTTTTGTTAATAATAAATACATTTGTGTATCAAAAATAAGCCTATGATTTGTGCGGATTTTGTGGAAGGCTCCTTACTACCTAGTGATGTTTTCAGCATTATGACTTGCTACTATCAAATCAGTAGGTACTACGCAAGTTCGGGCTGGAGGGAATGACCGCCTAAGTGGTAAATTTTATTTCCAAATGCGGTAGACAACCGGTTTGTTGAGCCGATGGGTTGAGCATTGTGGTCTTAAAGTCAGCAGCCCAGAAGCATTAAAACTAATTCACATTACGGTTAGGAAGTTTCCGTCCCGTATGCTCCTTGCGGTTTCTTAACGCCATTGGAGCGGCTTTCCTTGCTTGCCGGTTGGAGATGGCAGTGTTAGTGGCGATGGTCATAGCGGTGGCATTTGAAGATTGGGCCTGATATGCCGTCGTTGTTAGACTCTGATGTGGTGTTCTTGCCTTTGCGAAATAAATTTTATTTACAAAAAAAAAAAAGAATAATAATACTTACTCAACTTCGATCCAAATTCAGAACACAAGCAATAATATTGTTAAGATTTACAAACATTATGCCGAAATTTCGATTAAACCCCAAACAAAGGGAACAGCGATCTTACCTCAATTTATAAAGCCCCATTAGAGGCAGCCTTATTTATAAGCAGTGATCTCAAATCTTAGATGATAATTGACGGTACTAAAAAAATCGCAGAAAATTTATTTGCTCAAAATGATATTTTCATTTGGATCTGGAGTAGTGATTTCACAAGGTTGTCTAATATTCAACACAACTCGTGGAAATATACAATTCGACTCCCCATATCGAAAATTCTGGGTACCAGAAAATAATGAAGGAGTAATCCTGATGAGGAAATATGCTAACAAATCTATAAATCGACTACCAGCTAGTAATTAACTATTATCTTTAGTCTAGTTTATTCTATGTATTGTCATCGCAATATTCCCGAAAATGGGGCTTATAAGTTAGCCAGGCAGGATTCCGGGCTAACCTCATTCGAGAGTCAGGGTGCACACCCCCACCGGTTTTATGTATATTCAGTAGGAATGTTAATCCCGGGATTCCCACCTTTTTGGGGCCTCAAGAATGCCGGGATTTTCGAGATTTATAATTTGCACTGATGGCAATAATAGAAACTCCTCTTCTTGACTATATTTATTTTATATTGGCTATATTTATTTTTTTTTATTTAGTAAATAATATTTTTTTATAAATATCTAGCTCATCATACACATAACACCGTGCAATAGTAAATTTTACACACAAAAATTAATATATTCGTAAAATTGAGTTTGCGGTTTTCACTCTGACGTCAGAAATTCAAAAATTATTTCAAAAATCCAGCGAAATGTGCTTAGAAAAGAAGTATGGGTATCAAATTAAAGAGGAAATTATGTAGAACTTAAAAAGGTTCAATTTTTTTTTTGGTGCATAAGGTCTGATAAGTATTGCAAATATCCTTTTAAAATTTTATCCTTGAAATTTTGCTATATTTGTTTTTGAAAAAATTATATGTTAAGGACTTATAGAAACTCGATAGCTTTATCAGCTTAAAAAATTAGCTATTCTTCCTTCTGAATCCAAAAATTTTATTTATTTGTTAATTCTAAAGAAATATCCTCTCCTCATATAATAGATATCCTACATTGCATTGAATTTTTTAAAATTACCTATTTTTCCTTGCGAATCCAAAATTTTTATTTTTTTTTAATTCTAAAGAAGTATCCTCTTTCATTTGTTACTCATATTTATTATCCTACATTGCATTGAATTTTTTTAAATTTTACAAAGTTCTTTAAAATAAATCCTGACGTCAGAGAGAAAAAATAAAGACACTACTTTAAATAAAAAAGTAGCTTTTAAACCAATTTATTTATTACTTATTTTTCGTAGGAGAGATAGAAGCAATTTTTTCGATTTAAGTTGTTGAAAATTAATGAATATCTAAATCCCGAAACTCATCCTGGGATCCCGGGATTGTGATAACGACATCCCGAAAATCCCGGCATCGTAAAAAGCGAAAAAATTTACATCCCTAATATACAGGCATATTTCTCTTCTGAGTTCTAAAGTTCAAAAGATTGTTTTTATGAAAAATTCACAGACGAAAGGTGAAAATTGAAAATTGTTGCAGATATTATTAGGAGAATATCTTCTTTAAATAAGTAGAAAAATACATTGCTTCATTTATTATATAATTTTCAAATTTTAGAAAAATAAATCTGAATTTTTTGTGTTATTTATATTTCGTTTATTACAAATATGCCAACTGAACTATGTTTGTATATTATTACATTTCCAAAAACTTTAGCTATTTATATGTGGGTGCCAGTCCAAAAAGGTTTAAAAATGTAGCAGGTTAGTACCATTCACTTAAGTGTGCGAAAATACTTAAAGAATTTTCATACATTTTAGGTGTGCTCGTCCTTAAGTTGTTTGTTTTTGTTATTTTATGGCCTTATAACAATTATATTCAACAATTTTTATTGAGCTCGAGACAAGGCGAACTTAGCACAGTGCGTAGGCAACTGGCTGAGTCAGTGCAATCGTCGGTTCGAATCCTACTGAAAGTAGTCTGATGAGGAGATGTGCTGATCTCCGAAATAGCTGCTATAACACTTCTACCGCTTAGACTTTGTTGCTTTTTCAATTTTTCCTAATAAACAATCGTGGTACAAAGCTCAATAAAAATATTAAAAATAAAATGTTAATAAGCCACAATAACATTGACAAAAAAAAAAACATTTTTTTCCAATTCTACAAAATTTTCTATTTTATTGTTTATAAAGATTGCACTGAATTTCCTATAAAAAATTTCGCATTAAGCCTTTTTAAGAAAATTCCAAGTCCTTTGAAAAAATTCTGCTATCAGATAGAAACACTTAAAACGAATTTTATTTAGTATTTGCTTTTGCGACTATGTTGACTTTGTGCATGTAAAATTGTCTGACGCACGGTGTAATATTTATAAGCAATTTGAAATTCGCACGAATTATCTTATCAATAAGTTTTTTTGATAACCTCAAATATATTTTCAATACACATATTTAAATGTTAATCAACTGATAAGGGTTTATTCTTGGGAAATGTTTTGAACAGGCGGCGTTTTGGCACTTTAGTCAAACCTTAACTTCCGTTCTAACAACACACAACTCAAAAATGTGCGCTCGAATAAACTACATTGCGATATTTTCGCTTTTCTGTGCACTTACTGGAGTTAGCACAGTAGTTGGCTATGACAACAACCGGCCACAGAGACGACATTTTTCTACTGCACACACCGATGCTGATACAAATAGCGAATACTTGCCAATAGCAAGAGATCAGCATCCATGGGAAAGGCGATCAATTCCACGCTTCCCTGGCGGTCCCGAGTTAAATGTGCCGCGAAACAATCCCAATTATGGAGAGTCTGAACTAAGCTCAGAGGAATCGACGGCAGCTGTTATTCAACATGCTACCAGAGTTCGTCCAGCAGCGAGACTAAATGGAAATGTGTTAGACACTGAAGTGAGCATGCCCGATCATGCACATCATCCATGGCGTTTAGAAAGGCCACATAGAAGACACGAATTTCTTCATTCTCGGTGGCGTGGAGCTCCCTATCAGCCAGATTCTGAGGAATCAAGCGAAGAAATAGAAAAAACGGTTAATCGTCGGCGGTTTAATGAGGAATCGGAACATAATTTCAGAACATCTACGGTGAACGTTAATCCTGGCACTGGAAGTGCGACTGTTACTATTCATCGTTCAATAAAAATAGTACCAGCGGCGGGTTCGGTTGGAAATGTTTTGGACACAGGAGTGATAGCGACCGATCCACACCACCCGTGGCGTGTAGAATGGCCACATAGGCGGCATAGATTTCATCATCTTCGATGGCATAGTGGCCACTTGGAGCCAGGCACTGACGAATTAAGCGGAGAGGATGAACAGCCGGACACCAGAAATGGGAATAGTTGGTTGCAGCCACGTAATAGGAATGAGGATAATGAAGGCAGGGAAAATGAAAAAAGTCCGGCAGTTGCTAATACCAGCACGAGTACTACACTAGTAGAAACGGCGACATCTTCTACAAGCGAAGAAACTACTGTAACAAAAACTACTGAAAAATCCATAGCGCTAGATGGGACCACAAAAACAACACCAACAACTGATGACACATCAATTTTTAACACCACCGAGGAAACGATTGGCATTGATGTGAGAGGCGGTTTCGCTTGAGCTACGCATTTATGTATGTATGTAGATTTGCAAAATTAGGAATTAATAGAATGAGAAAAGTTGTAATTTTATACATACTACCTTTACCTGTATTTATTTATGTCCTTTATACAATTTACAGGCGATATGTGAACAAAGTCAAAAAATGTGTAAACTCAAATAAAAGTTCAAATCTTACTGATTACTAATAAAATTGTAAGTGTAATTGGGCCCCAATCGTCAAGTCTTTTTTTCATTTCTTTTTACTGGACTTCAACGGTCTCCAACGCAAAGAGACACATCAATGGACCGTACATTTCAGTCGAGCAGGATTCGAATAAAAAAAAACTGCATTTTACGAGCGGAGAGTAATTTAACCAGAGGGCACAAAAGCATGTTTTTTTCTTCCAATAAGTAGTGATGTATTATGGATGTTTTTGGAGACTGAAAAGGGCGGAAGTTTTTACGCCACTAAATCTTTCCTCAAGTAAGGTTTCCATCTAGAGTGAGTCACTATAAACTTTTTTCTTTCCTATTAGGGTGATTGACTAGGATTTCAGGCAAACAAACATAAAAATTTTGAGTTTTTCAAAGTTTTCAACGCTTTTTCCAGTTTAAGCGAAAGCCCTATATAGTATGAAATTATATCCTAGGTTATTTGGGCATGCACAGCATATCAGTTTTGATTTCAATAAATGAATGTTTGGCACTTAAGCTTCACGCTTCACGTTTTTCGTTTTCCATCTCATAAATGGTTTATAATGACTTTTGCTAAAATTTCAAAATCAAAAGTTATTACAACAAATTCTATGGGACTGAGAAATATTATTTTCCACTTTTTAGTCCATTTATAAAAGCGTTGTACATTAGAAAGTGTTTTATTCTATTTATTTATAGGAAAAGAAGACACAGAGGTTTGCTTTTTTTTTGTTCGAGGCGTGAACCTCCCATGTTGTCGGCTACGGCGGCAACAGCACTACTCGGATGTGAAAATGTCAGAAAAAATTCAATAGAATATTAAAAAAAGTTAAAATAATTACTTTTACTTTTGATCTAAAAAAGAACTTGCACGTAGTTTTCTTTGCCCTTTTCTAAATAAAAGCTATCTTTATTGATAATAGTTTTATTGTAGTTTTTAGTCAAGAATTCATACCAATATATGCACTTGCACTGTATGAAAACTATTTAAAATAAAACCGCTTTTTCTTACTTTCAAAATCGGCAACCGATGTTTTTGCAATTTTTCGAATAACTCGAAAACTGGGTTCGCAAAAAATATGAATAATCGAACACCCTCATGTTAACATACAATATTTTGATATTTACATATTTTATGTCAAAAAAAATCGCAAAAAATTTGCAAATCTGCAAAAGCGTGGATTACGTATTTCAATCAACAATATAATAACTGTGTATGTATGTAGATACCTGAATACATAGTACATTATAGGTACATATGCAGATATGTTGACATACATATATGTATGTATATGGCTTTATTCATGAAATATTTGCATATGCACAAAAATGTGCCAAATTATAGTTTGCATTTTGTAAGCGAAAAAGGTGAATGAAGATAAACATCAATGGATGCAGTAAAATCAAAGTAAAATTTGCCGAAAAAAAATTATATCATATGTATGTGTTGCAAGCGACCAGAGGTTTGGATCAAAAGCGATTATAATTAAAAAATATAAACCAAGCCAAAATAAAAGTAAAAATAAAAAGTATTTCGACATTAATTTCCTTAAAGCAGTGGAGCAAAAGATATTTATTTGTGACTTTATTACATTAGAGCCTTCAACTGATTTTGCAAATTGCTGTGACGACGTAGCTGGCGGTCAAATCAATTATCATAGAAATGAATGAATAAGCTTACGCATTTTGGTAACAACATTTTAGGGGATTCATTATTTTAGTTTATTTTTTTCCTTTTTCTATTAGTTCTGGGTCAAAAGCTGCATTAGAAAAATGGTGTAAAAAATATTTACACATGTATGCCTGTATGTATGTATTTACTGCAGTAGCCACATTGAAATACCATACAAAAGTTCAAAATGTTAAGCTCTCATCTCTCTAAATGGAAAAACAAAATACCCGTATTTTGTTGTTTAAAAGGAAAAAAAAATATTTAGAACTGCCTCAAAGCCTCTGAAGTATGCGATGAATTTTATATGGAAAAAACACTTATTCGTAAAAATGTTATAGAATTCTTGAAAATCAATATTTTTCGATCAGAAAACTCTATTTCTCTTAAGGGGACACCACCCAATTGTTTATTTCAAAAAAATTTTTAATATTAACTATTTTGTATAGGTCCCCCAAAAACCCCAAATAAATGCAATGGGGAGTCATAAAAATCGTTAGTATTAAAAATCGTAAAATAAACAATTCGGTATTAGTCTACTGTCCGATGGAAGAATATTGATTCTCAGAAATTATATGCTATTTCTACGAAAAAGTGTTCTTCCCGCATATAATATATAATCCTACACGGAAAACATCATGGGCTTTGTTGCAGTTCTAAATATATACATACTAGCAGACCCGGCGAACTTCGTCCCGCCCAAAATTTTTATATATTTTATTGAAACTTTTTGGTCCAAAATTTTCACCAACAATTCACGTCTACGATTTTTATTGGCACATTTGTCTGCTAAGATTAAGTTTTGGTGGTCATTTGCCGCCTTAAATAACCTAAGGAAAGTGTTATATCCGTTCTTGAAATTCTCCAGTTGTGCGGCATTTCATAGCACGGTTATTCGCAAAGCGAAATAAATTTTTTCCTCTTCACTCCCTGGCGGCAACAATGACCTGGTTCTATAGTGAATGTCCTAGAAGCTTTACAGTATAGTAGGTGGCAATTTCAAAATGGGTGCGAATCATTGTTCTACAGAAATGCAGTATACATATACTTATTTCAGACGAAATACCTTAAAAGTTTGAACGCACAATAGTATTGGAAAATCACATCCATTGGGCCAATTGCAACGCAGGACCGTCGATATACTCAATGGTGCAACAGGTCGATTTAATCTGACCTTCACGGCCCCTTTTCTCACTTGGCTATTTTTAGTAATAGCTCGACTTCAGCACCAGTTGGCAGCACGTTTTTGCAATAGTATTGCATACATATTTAAAACATTAGCCAAATCGGATCATAAATAAGATTTTTAGTAATAACTCAACTACAGCGCCAACTGTCGGATTAAATTGTGAAACTAAACCATCCAGAGACTCACTCAAAAACACAAAAAGTTTCGTTAAAATCCGTACAACCATTTAGGAGGATTTCACTCACAAACACACCTACAGGAGAATACAAAAATTCAAAGATAGCTAAAGGTAGGTTTGTAGGCCTCACACCCCTTTTCAAATAGCCCAAATTTTCTCCATGAGTATGGGCTTGATTTCAACTATATACATATCTCCATACCAAGTTCCAGAACTCTACCATGAACACTTCCAAAGATAGGCAGTATGAAAAATCCGGTTTGTATGGAAGATGCCACGCCCCCTTTTCCAATAGTTCCAATTTTTCTCCAAGAGTATGCGATTTATTTCGTACATCTCCATACAAAACTCTAGAACTCTACCAAAAAATTTCCAGAGATAAGCAGTATGAAAAATTCGGTTTGTATGGGAGACGTCACACCCCTTTTTACTATAGCTAAAATTTTTCTCCAAGGGTATGCGATCGATTTCGTATATCTCCGTACCAATTTCCAAAACTCTACCATGCACACTTTCAGAGATATGTAGCATGAGAAATTCGGTTTGTATGGGAAGTGCCACGCCCCCTTTACATATAGATTTTTCAGCCTAAAACCATCCTTGGGACACGTGCGGCAGGTGGCAGTTTCAAAAAAATCAGTTCAGCCGCCCTCGAGCCTTGCGAAAACTAACAAACGGCTTTCTAAATATAAATTAGTTGAGATATATTATATATTATAATTATATTTTGACAGTATCCGTTGTTTCTGATTGGCGCAAAAAAATCTTGCCTAGTGATGAATTCGCCCCTTGATATGGTCATTACTTAAATCTATTTATATTCGAAATTGCATGAAAATTGGAAAACAGGAATCTATAAGCTTATCCAGGCAAAAAGCTACCTATGTACCGAATTTTAAGCAAATCGGACCCTAAATACGATTTCTTCGAACAGATCGGTCCCTGGTCGACTTCTCGGACAAAATGGATCATATATGCTAAAAAGCTATCTACGTACCGAATTTTAAGCAAATCGGACCATAAATACGATTTCTTCGAACAGATCGGTCCCTGGTCGACTTCTCGGACAAAATGGATCATATATGCTAATATATGCTAAAAAACTACTTACGTACCGAATTTTAAGCAAATCGGACCATAAATGCGATTTTTTGGAATATATCGGCCCCTAGTCCACTTCTCGGAAAAAATTGATCGCATATGCTAATACATGCTAAAAAGCTATCTGCGCACCGAGTTTTAAGCAAATCGGACCGTAAATTCGATTTTTTCGAATAGATCGGTCCCTGGACCACTTCCCGGAAAAAATGGGTCATATATGCTAACAAGCTACTTACGTACTAAATTTTAAGCAAATCGGACTATAATAAGATTTTTTCGAATAGACCGGTCCCTGGTCCACCTACCCGAAAAAAAAGTAAAATTTTTAGCCTAAAACATGGTGGTTACTGAAAGCTATTTGTATACAAAATTTCATGAAAATCGGACCAGCCGTTCGCGAGATTACCTGTTACAAAAAAAAGGGACTTCCCTTTATATAATTAGTATAGATATATTTTTTTAACAAAAAACTACGCGTATCCTTTTTTATAATATTCGTAATTTTTTTTCCAGCTAAATTTATTATGTTATTTTTGTATAAAAATACCGTCCCAGCTTTAACCAAAACCATATAAATCACAGTTTCAAACTTTATAAAAAATTTCGGAAAATTCGACATATTTCTAACTTTTCAATCTGAATCTTTAGAACATTTGTGGGTAAACAGTTTTATAGCCAATATAATTTTAGTCTAATGAAGAGCAAGTTTCAACCGGCTAAAAAATCGCGTTGATTTTTGAGAATTTCTTTGGTGACGGATTTTTGTACTTTTTGCAAATAAGCATGAATTTCTTATGAAACAAAATGCGGGAGCAACAAAATTTCAAAAAATTAATGCCATTTTTTGTAAACTGCACTTTTTATATAAAAAAAAAACACCACAAAAGCAGTCTCCAAAAAAAAA